CCCTCCATTATCATATCTAAGGATTTGGATTTGTGTTTGAAACTGTGTTTGGGCCATTTTATAGAACGAGATAAAGGTATCATACACATCAGATTTATTTTTTAAAAATATACCCAACTCATTCTAGTGCAATCATCAATAAAGGTAACATAATATAAGAAACTATGATTATTAAATTCAGGAGCAGGTCCCCTAACATCAGAGTGAATAAGAATAAAGGGAGTTTCAGTTCGATTATTATTACTAAGGTACGTATGTTTATGACTTTTGGCCAAAATACAAGCCTCACAATCAAAATTTACTTTCGAACTAGCAAGAGAAGGAAAAAGTCTTCTTAAATACCCTAGAGATGGATGACCTAGTCGTCGGTTCCATGTCCAGAGTTGGTGTTCTACTGATCCATGAGCAAGCGCCGCGCAGCCGTGGTGAGACATCTGATCAACATAATACAATCCGTTTTCTTTAATACCACTGCACGCCCAATGATTTTCCCTGTCTGAGAATCCTGAATAATACAACTAGTGGAATCCATTAGTACAGAACAATTTAATTCTTTGGTGACTAATGGAAAGTAATTTATGTGTCAGTTGAGGAATAAAGAGGCAATTGGGTAATTTAATATTATCAGAAATATTGATTAAACCAGAGCCTTCTATTCTAACTTGTTCCCCATTGGCTCTTTAAATGTGGCTTTTTGTGGGTTTATTTATTTTTTCAAGGTCCGAAATATCAAAGGTCATTGTATTAGTTGCCCCATAGTCAAATATCCACTTACTATTTTTATCATTATTGCAAAGGAGTCCAATGGACTGATCACCTTTGCCTTGAACATTTAAGAGAGCATGAGGGCTTTTGTTACTTGGGCCGTGAGTATTTAAGGAGGAGTTTAGGGTTTCACTCCCTAAAGTTTCCTTTTTAACATTCTCCTTCCTCAAACCTGGTTCATGAGTGGTGGTGGCGGCCATTGCTCCTCCTCCTTCTTCATTTTCCTTCATTTCGCCGCCGATACTATAAGCGGTTGTGCCTGTTTTTTTCGGATCTCCCTTCCATGGGTTGCGATTTTCAGTCCCTTTCTTCTTCCTCTCCGACCACCATTTTGGGTAGCCGATTAATTTGAAGCAACCCTCCTTTGTGTGTCGCGTCCCACCACAGTGGGTGCATTTAAGGTTAGCCTGATCATCTTCTCGTCGAAACTAGGGTTTCTCAGTTTGCCCCCTTGCAGCGAAACCGCTTCCTATTCCCGATGATTCATCCGATGAGGGTTTGTCGCCAGATTTCATAATGCTCCGGCGAGAGCTTTCTTGCCGGATTGTTGCGTATGCTTCTTCGACTGTGGGTAACGGATCTGAATTTAAAAGATCTCTTCGATCTTTGTCCGGTGAATCATCGAGTCCCGCTATAAATTGATAGAGGCGATTTTGTGATGTTAAACGATTATAAATCGTTTTGTCTTCTGGGCAAATCATCGGGTTAGGTAATCTCCTATCAATTTCCTTCCAAATTGAGGTGAGTTTACTGTAGTAGACCTCAATTTGGTCTGTGCCTTGCTGTATTTTGCTTGCCTTGACCGTGAGGTTAAATATTTGCAAACCGTCTCTCCCACGGCCGTACATAGTTTCGATCCCTTTCCATAGATCTTTGGCTGTTGGATAATCCAGAAACTGGTTTTGTAGATCTGAGTCAACATTTTCAATTGTCCAGGAAATTACAATGGAATCACGTTGAGCCCATTTTATGTACTCGGGATCATCAGGAGATGGCGAGGAGGCAGTGATGTGATTAAGCCTACCTTCCCTCCAATACCGAGTTGCATTAATTTGGACCACTTCGTGTAATTTCCATGGTTCAATTTTTCTGAGATGTGAAGGGGTTGATTTGTGGTTTTATTGGTGTTTAACTGTGAAAGCAGTTGCAATATATCCTCCATTGTGACCGATTTTGGGACAATGGGCTGGTTTTCAGTTTCCATGGTAGATGATGATGCCGAAGTTCTTTCGATCGCCAGAAAATCAAACCTGGCTCTGATACCAAGCTAAAATATTAAAAGTATTTTTGGGGTTTTAATTTCTGTTGTATTGATTCACAGACTGAGGGAATACATGTATAAATATACAAAGGGTTGCCTAAACAGGCTCCTGTAATCACTCCTAAGAATAACGAGAGAATTGATACTCTTCTAAAATTTCACAAAAAATATCTCTTATTTCCTAACATGCCTATGGCTTTAAAAGCCATACACTTCACAACAAGTGTTCACACCTACTTAGGAGTGGAACACCCATCAATGTTCTTCGAAACCAAGCAAGAAATCCAATATTACCATAAAGACATTTCGAGTAAAAACGGAGTTTCTAACCAACTAGTTTTTCATCTAGTTGTACATAGCTGTATCTTACAATTCATAAATTCACCAAGTCCTTACAATTCATAAATTCACCAAGTCCTTCCCCTCCTCAGGGAGCCGTAAGGAGTACATGTCCAATTGGGTCTTTTCACCTTGAGTTTCAATATCTTTGTTCAAATTGCCATCTCCTTTTATCATTTTGGTTTTACTACCACAGGTTGAGTTGAAATGCAATCAATTAGCTAGTATAAGCTTGTTTACACAGAAATGAAGGAAGATAGTTCCACCACACAACCCAAAAAACTGATAGTAAACTAAGACAATAATCACGAACATGCATTACTGATATAGTATGAAATCTTCGCAGTGAAACGTAATATAACGTTTTTTATGGAACTTCTAAATTGTAAAGAAATTCAAAATTAGGATGTCATGCCAATATCGGTCAACAATTTAACCTTCTTTTCTTGTAGCAATTCTCAAAATAACATATATCCATCACAAGTCATATACACTTAACTCTACATTTTGTAATGTTTGCTTAATTCCGCATTATATCCATGAGCAGGCAAGGGGAAAAAATGAAAAGAGAAATAGGAAATGAAAGAAATGGAATATGATTCATTATCCATAATGAACGGACCCAAAACCTACCCTTAACTCTGAATTTTTCTAACAATTTCCTCTTAATTGAAACAATATAGAAAAATATCAATATAATGATCAAGAAGATATTACAATAACCGCTTTCCTAGACAGGGAGGTAACGAAAAGCAGAGCAGCGAGAGTTGAGATGATAGTATTGGGAAGAAAACCGAGTGACAAGCACCTCCTTAGAGTCGACGAGCTTGACTTTGAATGGACAACATGAACAGGGGTAGTGGGGGAAAAGTCTACCACGTCAATGGAGGAAGCGACCAAGCATAGCAAGCCATTGCCCCGATGTAATAAATCACTATATTGATATTGGAGAAAAGATTGACAGTCGCCATGAGCCTCAGGAGACAGTCGAACATTCAACCATTCTTTGGTGACTGTATCATAAGCCCTAAAGAATGCCTTATATGTGGGGTTATGAACATAGATAACCCCATCATCTGCGAGAGTCACGGGCTCTCTTCCCGCATACCATCCTATTGCCTTCAACCTCACATTCCCATCGATCCAAACTAGGATAGTAGGCATACATCGTTGAGATATTGTTGAAGCACAAAATGATTCTGTTATTTTTGTAATCTGCCAAAACTGGAGGTTCCATTACTGTAGGGTGGTTGAGAGCCTCCTCGTCCTTATCCCCACCGTTGCCGCGTGATGGTGGGAATGGGGGCGACTTCAAGCGACGCCACTGATTAGTTTGAGGATCGAAAACCTCACAAATAAAAGAGAATTCAGGGTTTGCAACTTTGCATAAACATAAATCTTCCCACCAAACGTGATGACACACATTGGCAGCAATGGATCGTCCCCAGCGGTGGCTAGTCTCCAACCTTCTAGAGGTTTCGTCAGATCTAAGCAATAAGATGAATATAAGCCCTGTTGCTGATTCTGATTCTGGTTCATCTTCCACCTACATTTCCTAGTTTTTGTGATTGGTTTTGCTTTCGGTTTAGAGGATTCATTATAATCCCCTCCAATGCCATTCGCAAAAGTTTAAAGTCGAGATCCCACAGCAGCCATGGAAGACGATGAACCATAATCTTGCACGGTACTAGGAAGTGATGAAACTTCACCACTGTTGAGATCCAAGACGTAGTAACCAATTTCCCAATTCTCACGAGATACTATTTGTGTACATAGATTTTCGTTTGGCTTTATGTCCTCAATCAGCAGTTTGGCTTTATGTCCTCAATCAGCAGGCCCCTACTACTTCCTCCGTTTTATTAATATTGCAATAAGGATGAAATTACACATCTCAAAACACATTTTATATGCCAAATATCTATAATTGTATAAAAGTAAAAATTATAAAAAGTTAATATTGTAAAAGTATTTTATGAGACAAATCCAACAAGATCCCACGTGACTATATTTTGCTTAATGTATAAATCATATTATATGGTCAAACAAGAGTGATGAATAGTACAAAAAGTCCATTGTTGCAATATTAATAAAACGGAGGAAATATTATCTTATTCTTCAATACTCTTCTCTTTTCCACCACCCTTTTTTCTCTTTTCTCTCTCTCCCTTTCTCTTCTATTCTATCAAATCCCTAAACCTACCACCCCCAATTGCGGCCGAATGATAGAAAGGCTTAAGAGGGAGGGAAAAATTTTAAGAAGGGAATGGCCCATGGGTTTGTACGGAATATTTTTATTTATTTTTATTTTTTTGGAGTTTCCAGCAAGTTAACCAGTCTACTAACTATTAGAAAGTTGCTTACATCATCACTGTCCATATATCATTGTTATAATAAATTTTTTTCATTTTTTTTAAAGTTACCGTATTTAAATTTTTTTTCATTGTACAAGATGTATAATTTTAATTTATTTTTACTATTAAACCAAAATAAATAAATAAGGTCATAAGCAGGGAAAATGGCTAAAAAAAAAAAAAAAATTGCAAAGATCAGCCAAAATAAAGAGCGTTAACTATTGAAATTCTATCAGCTACGAACTGAGGAAGACCAAGCAAGATCGTCAACAAACTATTAATTACTACACTACTTTGTGCTTAGCCAAGCGAATACTTCGACGACGAGGAATGAAGCTCTTATTAGAAACGTTCACGTAATGACCCTTGAATTTGATCTCACAAGCTGAGGGATTCTGAAGGCCGAACAATTTCTCACAAAAATCATACTCTTGCGATGTCACTTCTACCTTAATGGTACCTCTTTGGTTAAGATAAACCGATAGCAATTCTATCTCTTTGTCGCAATCTAAAATTCGCATGATCGCCTCTAAATATTCATCATATACTCCATAATAGGTTGTAAACACTAAATGCAGGACCTTTAAACAGGGACACCATCTTAGAAAAACCAATAAATCATTCCACCACTTAATACTACCCATATCACTTTCAATTTCTATCCTTAGTTCGTACAACTTATCAAAGATTGGAACAAGGTCGTATTTTAATTTACGAATGTCGTTCAAATTAACTATATCTAGGCTAAGAGATTTTAGCCCAGAAATCAGTTCCACCATCCTTTTTACATTACTAAGGTGATTTTCCTCCAAGTACATGTATCCTGAACAAATATCTGCTTTTATTAAAGAGCCTGAATCCCCAATAAATTGAACTAGCCCCATACCAAAGTCTAATGTAATTTCTTCTAGTTTTGACACATTGATTAAAAGATTTCTTGATAGTTGGACTGAATTTCTAATTCGATACCTTTCTTTCATAACCAATCTCTTGAGATTATGAGCCGATAAATCTATTGAATCCAAAAAATGATTGCGCTTCCTCCGATAGATAAACAGATTTAGATCTTCCAGCAGTGGACAACCCCTAATAATTGCTGCCAACACACCACAATCCGTAAATAAATGAAGTTTCTTCAATTTCGGAAGAGTCGCAACAAATCCTTCATTAGGAACTTGAATACTAATGTATTCAATCAGTGTAAGATCGACCAGAGATTGACATTGAAAAATACAAGCTGGCATTCTTTCCAAAATAAATTCTTTATAATAGAGATTTTCCACAACAATTTGTTTTGGATTTCGGGTGCATATATCACGAATACAAAATTCAATATCGGAAAACTCTTCCCACTTCTTATTGAAAAAGAGATGAAAACAATCAATTCTGTTTGAGGTGAGCTGCGGAATGATACGATTGACAGCCGCAGATAAATCATGACTAGAAGAAGGAAGACAAGTTTTGGAGAAGACGATGTTGGTGATGTGAGTCCAGAGGTAACGCCATTGGCGCGATAAGACGGAGGTGGATACGGCAGATTTGATAGGTAGGAGAGAAAGAATATGTATAAGGATGGCGTCTGGGAGTAAGCTCAATCGATCAATATCTTCCACTGTTTTTAATCGCTTAATCTTAGCCATTATCACAGGGGTTTTACGTCAAACCAATCGTATAGTTATAATCTCATTCAATAATAAATAATATATATGCGGTCAGTATATATACACGGCCAAGGCACAATATATATAACAATCACATACATCCTAACCATATAGAAACTCTATCATATGGTAATTCTAGAGATAGGAGATATTTAGGAAACCTGCCAAAATATATCCTAACCAAAATATAATAATTATCTTATCATAACAAATATATTCTACAGAGTAAATAATATCAAGTTATAACATCCTCCATGAAACCATGTACAACTTAATTTTTGTTCTAAATAAATATATATGGAGTACTTAATATCTTTTCATAAATTTGATTATGTCAATATTAAGAATTTGTTTTTATTAACCTACTAATATAAAAAAAGAATTTGTTTTATTAACCAAAGAGTCAATATTAAAAATTAATATTTTAATGTACTCCATAAGGCGCGTCGTTTTTAAGGAGTATATCGTTTATCAGTTCATGTGCTTCCATTATTTTTGTCATTAATGGTATATAGAATTATAGAAAGTCCATTAATAGATAAAATTCACCATAATTAAATTTTGATTTATTTTTTCTTTTTTCTTTTTATTTTATTTTTTATTTTTTATATATATGTTCAGCCCATATAATGTTTAATAGACACCACCAAAAGGTCCAGTCAACCTATCTCAAATTTATTCAATACAGAGGAACTACGATTGAAATTCTAATTTCGTTTTTCATCTAATAAGCATACAAGAACAAATCAAGAGGTAAATCAATGTTTATTATTAAATTTAATTTCGTTATTATTATTGATAGAAATATTATGTAATGATAATAATTGTCATTGAGTTAGGATATATTATTGTATACTATATTTTATACTTATCTTCCAAGGTTCTCTAACACCTGCCCAGATCTACTGCCGCTTCACCGCCCAACTGCCTGGATTGCGCCAGCCTACTACCTGAATTTGCTGCCGGTAATGTCTGTCATCGGCTTCCGACTCCGTTCAGACTTCTTCAAGTCTACACTTGAATTAATTTGCAAGGTAAATAATTTTATACTTATCTTACAAATTTAGATACTCCGTATTTCTTGCCTTTAGAAAATTTTCAATAATTGTGTAGCTGTGTGAATTTTACTTCATCATAATTAAAACGATTGTGTGTTTAATCAAGAATTTGGTAGCTATTTGTTCTTTGCAGATTTAATAAAGCATCTGATTGATTCAGATTGTAGACTTTAGAGTACTAAATAGAGTGACTGAGTGATTAACTTAGGTAATTGATTGATTTTAGATTAAATTTACATCAAATTGTACTTTGGTATGATTAAGTTGGAAGTTTATTTTGGACCCCATTTATAAATTTCTAGATCACACAGTTATGACTCAAATATTGTGATCAATACTATTGACTTCAATCTGGTTGATTATTATTATTAATCTCAATTAAAGTAGGTTTTTGGTTGATTTTTTTTTTCTTCTTGTTTATTGTATTTTATGCTTAATATTATGCCTGTCATGATATATTGCACATACTCACACTATGCTTGATGAAAATTTGCTCAAAAATCCGAATTATACGCATTTAATTGCTAAGAGTAGTGCTAAAGTCATGATTACATGTTGAAATAGATTGTATTATATTCATGAATCTTAGAACCCTAAATTTCGGAGAGCCTATTATGTAAATCCGGGTGTATAGTACACCCGGGGTCATTTGCTCATTCAATCAACAAATGAATAAATATATTATTTGTTCATTTGTTGATTAAATGAGCAAATGACTTTGGATTTACTGTACTCCCGGGTGTATATAACAAATTCTAAAATTTCGAATGCCATGAAGTTATACACGCTGTAATTATTTATGCCCTAGCATCTTGCGGTAGTAGATGAATAATAAAACTCAGTGTAAAATTTTTTAATAGCTTTAATGTATATTTGTTTCCTAAACTTAAAAGTTATTATTATGTTTAATGTTTAAAAAAATTTCTTCTATTTTTTATTGCAGATCATGTCTAACAACGATAACTCAATTAACATACACCCCTTCTTAGAGAAGGAAAAAATGAACAGAAATAACTTCCTTACTAACTTCTTAGATTGGTATCATGACCTATTAATAGTTCTCAAGCAAGTTGGGAAAGAGTCAGTCTTGGAGGCCCCTATTCCACTTCTTCCTGAAAACGGAGGAACAATTGATGAGATAATGGCTGAAAAGAATGCTAGAGAGCAATCTATTTCTGTCGCGTGCCTTATGTTGATAACCATGGACTTTAACTTTCAAATGCAATTTGAGAACATGGATGCTTACAACATGATCGTGAAGCTTAAGACCATGTTTCAAGGGCTAGCGAGGAGTAAGAGGATTGAAACCATGAATGCAATTCTTGATACTAAGCTCAAGGAAGGAAAGCCTGTTGGATCTCATGTTCGTAAAATGATTGGTTATTTTGAAATCATGGAGCGCATTGGTTTTCCTGTTGCCCTAGAATTGGCCACAGAGATCATTCTCCATTCGCTTCATAATGGGTTTGACAAATTCAGGAAGAACTTTATTGTGTATGAGATGGGAAAGCCTTTGATTGAATTACTCAACATGCTTCAAACTTTAGAACAAATCATTAATATTAAGCCCAAGATGCAATGTCTTATGGTTCGCAAAGGCGAGGGATTCAAGAAGAATGGAGCCAAGAAGAGCAAGAAAAATGCTTCTCCTTCCGAGAGTACGTGTTTATACTGTAAAGAAATCGGGCATTTCAAAAGAGATTGCCACAAATACAAGGATGATGAGAAAAATGGATGTTTGAATCTCCCTTCTACTGCAGGTATATTTCGCTATTAAAATTAATTTAGATATATTTGCATCTTCATAATTAGATACTGATTGGGGTTTTGATATTTGTTCAATTTTACAGGGACTAAAAAGAAGTAGAAACTTGGTTAAAAGTCGAAACTTGTGGACGAAATATACAGGGCTTAAAAAGAAGTCGAAACTTGGTTAAAAATGAAGTTGAACCATGAGTTGAAAATGGTACGAGGGTTGCTATAATAAGCATATCCGGTTTATTTTGCCTTTTGGGTTATTATAGATTTGAACTATATAATTGTTATTATATTGAAAAGTTTTTTTTTGTAATTGTGCTAGAGAGAGAGAAAGAGAAAAAAAGTTTTATGAAGTGAATGGAGATGCGATTGTGGCAAGTATAGGCTAATAGCGACAGATCCATATGCAATTACTCAAATTATATAGATTTCCATCATTGGGCTTTTGTAATTGTGCTAATTACTTGTCAAATTTAAAGTTAAAATTGTGCTAATTTATATATTATCATACTCCATAATTTTTATTTTTGACCCTTTTAATTAAATTTAGGAAAATCTGACTTTTATCACCTCCAAAAAAATGACTTTTTCGCTTTTACCACCTCCACAATTTAAAGTTTTATTTACCACCACATAAAAAATTAAAGTTGACTTTTCCCACCAAAACACAACTCCGGTGTCGGAAAAGTGATGTGGGGCCCACAGTAACGACTAATTTTAAAATTTTCCACAATCTATCACGATTACCTAACTTCTTCATTTCTCAAAAATTATAGTTGAATGAATTACAAATTTGTTGAATTTTCCCCAAATACTCAAATTTGCTCAAGCCTAATAATCCTAGCATCAATTTATCCGGATTTGTGTGGAAAAAAGGTATGCATCTCACTTAATTCGCCCACACATCATGAATTCTCAAGTTTATTTGTCGCAATTGATGTCGTAATTTTCTTCCAAATGTCATGTTTGATTGAAATTCTGATTATCACTAATGAACTGACCTTCAAAGTTAGAGTTTAAGAATTAGGGTTCATCTTAGTAAAAAATTAATTTGGGGGGTTTTTGAAATAGTAATTGGTTTCTAAAATTAGGGTTAGAGAATGATAATCGTGATGAACTGGAACAATATTGAAGTTGTTGGTTGTGAATTGCAGAATCAAATGTTTTTCATAAGTCTATCTCTTTCAGAAGAGAGAAGATGCCAATGTGGAGTTCCAACGGCAAGGCTTACTTCTTGAATTAAGGAGAATCCTAGACGCAAGTTCAGATTATGCAAATTCTATAACCCTATGACAGAAAGTAGAGATGTAAAGCTTTTGAGTGGGTGGATCAACCAGATGGAACACCTTAGCAAACAGAGATGATGAACAACTGCTTGCCGGACAAGAAATTGATGAAGGGTTTGTTAATTTTTGGTGGCGAATGAATTTTTCAATTCTAAAATAAAATATAAATATTATTTTTCATTGGCTGAAATAATATTTTTGCTTGTGTGACACCCCGAATGCTTTTGAAAAATGTCTCCTTTATTTATATATTAGGTGCGAATCTCGTGCGATGCAAAACCTTGTTTATGTACATTTATTTATTTATTTATTTATTTATTTATTATTATTATTATTATTATTATTATTATATCTCAAAAACAAATAAAGTTATATAACCTATAGAAAATTAGTGGGAAGCCGAGATACAAATTGGGCCCCCACTCCTCTAGCTATAGAAAAGCTTATCCTAGTAAAAAATATGAGCAGCAGCACGAGCCCCAATGTCTTGAGTTGTCGAGAACTTCTACTGAACCCGCTTCAGCAACACAACATCCTCCTTGTCTAATTCCCCAAGTAAAGAAAAGGAGAAGGGAAGGAAATATTAATTAATAAAAACAAATGGAGTCATAAACACGAAGAAATTAATTATTATCATCAATAAACTATTGCTATTAATTAAAAACTTTTTTTATTAATAATATTAAAAAATCAATTTATACATATTATACATCTTTAATTCTCTCTCTTTTTCACCTCTATGTATAGGTTTTTTTTTTTTTCCCTATAGTTCTGGCACATGTATTTTGGGTCTATCGTGAATGATGCTAGAAGGATTATTCAATTTCCTTTTTCAGCCCCAATTATGTAGTATGTAGAGTATCCTTTTTCTATAGTT